CAGAGTTTTGGAAGAGTGTCTTCTACAGTGCAGAAACTGGATGTTGTTCTTGGCCTGCTGACTTCACAAACTGGGGACTGGTGGGAGGAGGGACAGCCTTTTTCAGGGATAATAGAGTTGATGAATCCCCCCTGCTGATGGGGGAGAGAGCAAAAAATCCAGGATATTTCAAGCAAGTGGGACAGAATACATAAAGAGAATCACAGATAGCTGGTTTAGATGAGTTTTGCTGGTATACAGCTTCTGCTGATTCTGAGCCTGCAGAATATCAGTGCACTTGAATATGTGCACCATCCTCATATCTCCTCAGTACGAACAGCCATGGTGGCCAACAGGTGCCAAGGCAGTGGAGAGGCTTGTGTGAGATCTTCAAAGACACTGCACCGCTGGACAGAAGGAATAGTACTGAGAGGAGCTGCAAGTGCTTGGGGCCAGCCTCCCCTCGTACAAAGGCACTGTCGACAACCTTTGTCCCCTCCAGAAAAGGGGAAAACCTGGAATGTCTTGCCTTTACTCTTCCTTAGCATCAGTCAGCTGCTAGAATGATCCCTGTTGTGATCAGATCTGTCAGGCTAAGGGGCTGTGTAGCCCTTTTGCAATTACCCTGTGTGACCCACGTGGGCCAAGTAATGCCCTGTCGAGTGAATGAAGGAAGGTGAATGTGCAGAGACAGACCACATAGCTAAAGATCAACAGCTGAAGATCAGCTGTTATGATGTCTCAAGTCATTGCCAGCTGTCATCTCTGTACCCTGTAGATCAGCAAGAAGCAGTCATGTTGCAAAGCTGGTTAGGGGATGAAGAGCAGTGAATGCAAAACATTTGAATGTGGAAGGGTATCACGTACAGTTTGCCACTCTGCCCTCTGGTGTTTGGGAGAGAAGAGATCCTTTGTGTAAGGAAGCAGATAGCTGAAGGAAGTCTTGAGTGCTGTGATCCGATGTCATCAGCTGCACCTATACTTACTCCTCGGTGCAATGTGAAGCCTTGTAAAGTAGGAGCAAGAGTGGTGTTTATGTGCTTATGCATGTAGGCAGCTGTGAATTTCTAAGATTACAGAATGAAATTCATCTTGTAATAGTAAAGATGTTATCCAGCATAGCAGGGAACACCAACTCAGTGTTTCAGTTCAGAGGGACAGCACAGATAAAGCAACCATGCAAGTAACAAAATGGATAGAACAAACAGCATGAGTAGGTCAGACCTTTTCTATTAATGCTGAGACATAAAACTAAGGGGGGGGGGGAATTGTGAAGTGCTTATCAGCCCAGTTCATAATAATAACTCCTGCCCAGAAAAAAAGTAGTTCTTCTCTTGCATCACCTCTGAGTGAAAGGTGTGAAAACCTAACCTGGAAAAAGTGTAAAGTATATTTTACATGGTTGAGGCAGGGGGGTCAACAAACACTTGCAGACTAGAAGCAGTATATTAGACTAGGTGGTGATTCTTCAGTGACTGACTTGCTGTGATAGTAGTTCGCTAACTTTGGGGCATCTTTCTGTCGTGCCTCTTAACTCGCTTTGCCTCTTGTTCCACCGTTCCTGAGCACACGGTGATCTAGCCTGATGTCCTCCATGTTACCCCACACCATGGTAAAAGGGGTTATCCTTGTTGGAGACTGTAGTAAGAGTTCTTGTAGGGTCTTTATTTGGTTAACCGTTCACACTAAGGAGTACCAGTTATACAGGCAGTTGTTGGCTTTAGTGAATTACCTTGATAACCAAATTACTACAGGTAGAATGCCAGGATAGCAGGAAGTATCCAGCTGCCTATCCTAGTGGCTGCTTCCTAGCTGAATGCTTTAAATTCCTCTCACAAGAGAAGGCTAACTAAGGACCGCTCAGCCCAAGGAAAAGTCCCTGGAGATGAAGGCACAGTTGTGATGGTCAGGGAACACCACTGTGAGTGTGTGGCAAAGTAGCACAGGCAGCTTTGGGTATGCAAAGCTGGCTAATCATGCTTGCCGTGACAGTCAACAGAATTTCATTATGGCACCATGTGGACTAGAGAAGTAGCACCCATATGAGGGGATCATTAGATGTAAATTCTATCTTCTCTTCACCATAACCTTGTTGTTACCTTGCAGCGCTTGATGGATGGATAGGAAAGGTTCTTCATAAACCTTTTCTTTTTGGGAGTTACTTCAAGGATTTTCTTCCCCCTTTCTCCTTAAAAATGAATCCTATAAAAATGAAGTAGTACAAAATGACATTTGGTAGCTTGTTTTAATAATTCATTTCCCAGTTGGTTTCTCATTTGGTTTTTCTGGTGTCTTTCACTATTGGATCTTGTGATGACCTGAATCCTTCAGGACCTGATATTTCTCTCAGTGGAAAGCACTGTTTAAGTGAGATCCGTGTACCAGTTGACATGGATCATGCTCTGCAACTCACCAGTCAAATGACAAATGTTGCTTTGCCAAGCTAAAGATGGTGTGCCTTTCCCACTCCCCACGAAATTGAATCTTCCGCAGCCCACTGTGGTAATAGCAGGAGTTCTAAGCAGAGTGCTATCAAGGTAAACAGTGAATCACTGTCGCTAATGTTGTCCAGCAATGACTAATTTTTACAACCAGCAGACTGTATCCTGCCAGTTAAACACAAGAGCTATTAAGGATTACATAGGATGCTCTTTGGATATTTCTAGCAGATCAGCACAGTTGTTTAGAGCAGGTGTGTTCTTAATTGTGATATATGCTGTTCTGAATATATCACAATAGCATGCTGTATTGGAAATGACCCTTAAATGCCCAGCTCTCACCAGTGAGAGGAGAAGACTTTGTGGTGCACTAAGCTGTGCAATAAAGCAAGGAGAGGGGATGACAGTGGTCCAAGACCTATTCACCTGTATTTGCTGCTATTGCTGTCAGGGCAGCCTCTCTTCTTGCATCTCAAATCTTT